AGAAAGGATTTTGATTATCCGTAAAGCAAATATAATTATGTNATGAAAAAGGTATTAGAATGTGCCTTCAATCCATAGTGTTTTATTAAAACCTTAATATTTACAGTAACTTGATTATAGGGCTAAACTTAAATAAAAAAAACACACAATCCTTTCCATTGTTCCTATTGGCTGTAGCGCCTTAATAGAAATGTGTAATAAGCTTTAAAGTACATTTATATTTCACTGACAGCAACCTAATCTCCCATAGGATGAGAATAATGGCCCCAAGAATCGCTTCAGGGAATAAGATGCTGTAAATTTGGTCATATGATTTATGAGCAGGAGGAGAAAAGTAATTGGTTAAAAACAAACTTAGAAATAAAAAGAAATGTAAATTTTTAAAAACAATATCACAAGAGGTGTTTTTCTTTATGTATACATGCTTTACATTTTAATGTCTTGTGTTATAAATAAAAAGGATTCTGTTTGCTGTTTAATGATGGCAAAATATAAGGCAGTTCATTATCCCATCAATAATGAAAAAGAAATAATTTGATTTATAAAGCAGATTTAGGTAAACATTAAAGCTCAAAGAAAAAAATCAAGTTTCTTCTAAAATATTCAAAAAAATTGAGGAAGCAGGAAAAATTCTGATTTAAATTGGATATGTATTTATGTCCTGATAAAGAGACCAGATTATTTTATCTCTTCTTTAAAAGAAGCAAAGACAAGAGAAGCTGTCATTAAGGTAAGGCAGATTTGTGTTGGATAGGGTTTTACTAAAATATTCAAATAATACAGATATCTAGGAAAATATTTGATAGTCAATACTTTTTTTTTTTATTCCACTGGGATAAAAAATGCCTCTAAAACCAATAAACTAGTTAAATTAACTTGCCAGGAAACCGTTTCCTGTTAAGTAATTTACTTATAATTTTCTTTATGACCCTGGGTTATTACAGGAGGTGTGAGAATAGTGCATGCACACGTATAAACCCTTAGTGTGGAATATTTTCTTTCCTTTGAAATAATGTTAAAAAAAGGTTGAAGCCTTCTCAGCGTTTCATGACTTGCAGGATGTTCTCCATTAGTTTATTTTGACCATGATGAGAAAATGAAGGATCTTGTATTGATTCTTGTTTTGTTTATCATTTTATATTTTTTCTCTTAATTACAAATCTGTTTTTTTTTGGATTATTATTCTTTTGAAAATAGATCATATTGCAGATGAAGTTAATTCAAAGTATGTAATATAGTTTTA